ATATATATATATATATATATATATATATATATATATATATGCATATGAGGGGGTGCATGTGCACAAATAATATACCATCAAGGTGGAACTTCGAGTTTGTAACATCAATAAACTGTAACTTATATCAAGACCCAAGAGCACAGGACAAACAGTTCAATACTATCATATTTCCCAGATTCCAGTTAATTTAGAACCCCTCCCAAGGAAAATGTTGTTTCCAGACAGTGATTCTGTATTTTGGCACAATTTTTGTCACATTTGTAAGACCTGGTGAGGACCAGATAATAATTTAGTTTTAACCTGACACATAATAGAAGTCAAATGCTGAATACCCTTTTAAAATTGACTGCAATTAAAAATAATCTACACACATTCAAGGAAACAAGAAGTGTTGTCTGTCACAAAGAATGATGAATTACCTTTAAACTCCACTGGCCCCCTCACCCTCACTCCCCTCACCTATCGCTTGATTTGGCAGAACAACCTCAAAAATGTCACACTCTGTTCAAACTTTGTCCAACTTCAATATTAAAATCCCATCCTAAGTCTCCTATGAATATATTCACTATATTCTTAAAACTCTATGTGCTGCAGATCAAAATGTATCATGTCCAAATAGTCTTCAGCAAAAGGAAACATCACAAAATGGGATCAAACTGCTATTAAGCCAACTGTCAATGCTCAAAATAAAAACTTTGGTTCTGCTTTGGACCTAATTCAGCAAATGTGTTACCAATGCCATGAGAAAATTAAATTAGGGGCCACTGGGTTTACTAAATGATCCAAATAATGTATTGCAAGCCGAAAAATAAAGGCTCAGGACATACACTACGAGTACAGGAGAAATCTCATAAAACTTTTCTTAAATTCAACTATAGATGAAATCTGCTAGCAGGTGCATAAAGCTAGAAAATGTGTGTTAGTTCATCTTAACTATAAAAGTTTTATGCACTAATATATATATATATATATATATCTATATATATCTGTTTATAAGAATGCCT